CGACGCAGGACGGGGCTGAACGCGGGGTGTCTTTGTAGGCTCCGCTCCGCTCTGCCTCCTGCCTGTGGCTGTGTAAAGGGATGGAGGGATCCGACCCGCTCCCAGGGGCTGCCAGAGGCTCTCCTCCAGAAGTTTGCTGGGTGTTTGGATACCCAGCAGGACTGAATTTCAGTGCTCTAGGGTTTGGTTTTGGGTTTTTTTTTTTCTGTTTTGTTTTGGGTTTTGCCCATACGTGGTTGTGTCTGGAGATGCTGGTAACTGCAGCATTCTCCCAGTTTCACCTTTTTCACGTTGGGCATGGTCTGGAGTGGAGCACCTAGCTTGGGACCCTGCGAGGGTGGCTGGCTGTCAAAAAATGGAGAAGGCGAAAGGGGGAACAGACAGATAAAGATTCCTTTGAAAGACGGAGAGTAGCACTGCGTCACAGCGAGGGGAAGGGCCCCGATGCTGGGGAGATACTGGGCGCAAGGCAGTCATTTCACAGAGCACCCGTGTCTGAGAAGGTGACCACAGGATGGAGAAGGTGACCGGAGTCATGCTGCAGATGAGGACAGGGCGATCCTGCTGGGGTCCCAGGGCAAGTCGGACCCTGCTGAGGCCAGGGTTCAGAAACAGGCACCCAGGAGAAGGCAGCGTGGCTGCCTGCTCGCCAGAGGTCTATGTCTGTTCTTCCATCGCGGTGTCCCAGGCTAGCGCTGTGCATGGCTGCATGGGGTTTAGGTGTTGCAGTGCCATGGGAAATCTGCGCTTTGGTCTTTTCTGGTGACTCTGAATATGTGTGCCTTTTGTTCCCAGGATCTCCTCTGGGTTAAATACCTCTCCGGCACGCTGCTGATCCATTCCCTCCTCAGCAGAGGTCGCTTGCTACCCTTCGCATTATCTCCAGATGGGCTTTTTTGGTGCTGGGTTTTGATTTGCTTGGCAGAGTTGAGTGCTGTGCATCCTACCATTCCCACAGCTGGATGTTCCTATTGAGGCCATTAGTCTTGGAGAGGGTCCTCTGAGCCCAGAGGTGGCTTGTGCCTGGGCTTGCCAGGCCACCCATGTGCAGCCAAGTCTTCCTCAGGGTGGATGAAGGTTGTGCTGCCTGAAGGCAGCTTGTAATGGGAACCTTCTGGTGTGTTCCCACATGGCACTGGGGGTCCCTCTTGTCCCAGCACTCCTGCAGCATCCTCTGGAGCAGGGCTGGTGGCGGAGAAGCTGCCAGAGGTGCAGGACACCCGTGGATGGGAGCGGCAGGACTGGCTCACTAAGGAAGGAGAAGTTGCCGAGTGTGCTGAAGCCTTGTCCTGGCTCAAGCAGCCAAAGCTTGTAAAACCAGAAGAACACAAAGTTTTACAGGCTCTGCAAGCTTAAAATGCCCCTCTTCATCACTCCTGTTGATGCATTTTTAGTGAGCAGAGGCTCACTAAACCACAGAAGAAGGTTTTGCATTGAGGACGTGTCCAGACCGTAGCACTTGTGCTGTTCAGGTGTGGTTGTGCCACCTTGGCCTCTTCCAGCCCCAGTGCCCTGTGCTGGCCATGGAGGTGACTTGCCTGATGCTCCTGGAGGTCTCCAATGGGTGCTTGTTTGCTGCCACAGCCCTGAGTTGTTGACATAAGGCTGCTCTGGGGGCTGCCTGGCCCACGTGCTGGATGAGAAAGCTGAACGCACGGTGGCACAGCACCCACCTGGCACCACCGAGGTGGGTCAGCCCCAAGAAGGTCTGGAGGAAAGCACAGCTCCTGGTTTAAGAGGAAAAGACCATTGCCTGCAAGCCGGGCAGGTGATCTGGGGACAAATTATGGCACTGCCAGGCAAATTCAGCAATGGGAGCAACAGGCAGGCAAACGATGCGTGTGCGCTGGGTGCCTTGGGGTAGAGAGGCGGCAATGACGCAGCCTTCTGCAGCCGCGTCCCAAGTGGCATGGGCAGTGTCACTGCCAGGGTTACAAGCTGAGGTCCAGTTCCCGGGTCCCCTCTCTCCTGCTGCCTCGAGGTGCCACTCTGAGCAGGTCCTTTTAAGAAAGCTCCAGCTTCACCCCCTTCCCGCAATGGCTTGAGGGGATAAAATCTGCCCTGCCTGAAAACAGTGTTTATAGAGGTTACGTTATTGACCACAGGTTGCCCAGGTCTTGTGGTTGTAGGAAATCTCTGACCAGAGGCAGGCACAGAGCATGTGGGGTTTTTTTCCCTTCTCCCTCTTTCTTTGCCAATTTGTTGGGGGCACAAGTAGAAATGATGGGCGCTCACTGAAGTGCAAATGGAAATAATGGAGAATTCTATAGGGCTCTGCCAAACCCTGTTCACAAAATGAAGGAGTGCAAAGGCGTTTGTTGGAAGGACAAAAAAGGAGTTAGATGACAGATCACGCTCAGCACTTCTGTTCGTTGAGGGCTCCAGTTACTAACTGCGAACACAAAGCAAGGGCCAGGAGTGAGCGTTGTCGCTTTCCAGGGCAGCAAAGTCAACAACCCAGACAAACAGGGGTGGTGAGCAAAGAGGAGACCAAGTAACTGGTTGTCAGGAAAGGTGCCCCATTGTAGGAGGTTTCTGGGAGGTATCTGGGAGGGTGTTTGAGTCATCACGGCCGCGTGGGCCAGTTTTGCATCCAGCAAGTGAGGAAGCAGGTTGTCACCAGCAGGAGCGGAGATGCTGGTTAGCTCTGGGCCAGCTTTTCCCAGTGAACACGCAAGCTCTAGTTCCCAGTTAGGAGGGCAAGGATCGGTGGTTTGAAACCCATCAGCCCAAACCCTGGGAAGAACAAGGTGCGAGGTGTCTGCAGGAGGGAGGGTTGGCCACACTGATGCCTCACCTCTGCCTTCTTCATACTGCAGATCTGCATTTCCCTCCTGGAGAACATGTAAGAGGAGCTGTAGGTGCTGGGGGAGCAAATACCAAACCTTTCTGCATCCAGACCCTCCTTGTGCCTGGCTGACACGCAGGCTTTTAGGAGAGCAAAGCTGCTTTGCAGCACTTGAGACCTGCTGCCGTACCATTGCCAGGAGCTGCTGTCCCCCCCCTTAGTGAATGCCATTCCTCCCTGTCATCGGGCCCCGGTGGGTCACTGTTATGCTACCAGGGGCCTCTTCTGAAGGAGACAGAAGCTTTTTCTGGGCCACAGTTGCCAAAACCCTGAGATAAACCTCTACAGGCACGGCACTAAGGGCATTTTCCTCCTGAATTAAGATAAGATTTGGCAGAAACGGTGCCAGAATTCCCTGGGAAACTGGGGTTTTGCGCACGCGTTCCAGACTCTGGGGCAGGGTGAACAACTGAGACACTCCTGTTCAGGATCACCCCAAGGACGGGTTGGAGTCTGACCTAGAGAGTTTCCCATCCACGTGGGCTACTGGAGTCTCCAGTAATAATGGTGGGACAATCTTTGGAGCCTTCGGCTTTGTACACTGCTCAGAGTGCTGTTGAAGCTCAGGCAGCCGCACTGACATCCCACTGTCATCCTTTCCCCTTATGGCTGCACGTGCAATGAATTTTTAGTTATCTGAAAATGTTTTGATGAACGTGTGCCCAGAAGCAGTGGGTTGGATTCTGGACGTTTTGTGTACTTGGATGATGTTTTGGGGAGCTTTTTTGAACATTAAAATCTCAGAGCTACTGAATTTCATTTTTCCTCACTTAATATTGACAGTTTCTAGATCAATCTTGGATTTCTCAGTATTTTTAAATGACCATGGGAATGTATCTATCTGGGCTATATCTGCTTGTCTGCTTTCTCCTTTTTCTTAAAAATGTGGATGCTGATCGGGGGTTAAAAATGAATGTCATCTCAGGAACTGTCCCCTTAGCATGCCGGGTTTTGCAGCAGTGCTCCTGTATACCAGACAAAGTCTCTGGCTGGAAGTGTAAATGGATAACTGGTTTATACTGCAGAAAAGGTCCAGCAAAGGACTACACAGGGTCAATCCAGGGACAAGGATGTGTTCCCATTGCTCTCTCCAGAAACTGAGGGTGACAGGAGAAATACCGTAGTTTCTGAAGCCCAGGAAAGAGCACAGGTCTGCTGGGCAAAGGCTGATACTAGTACAAAATAAGTTTTTTATCCCAAAAGCTGGGAGTGCAACCGATGCCATGGTGGAATTTAAAGCCCCAGTATGTAGGTGGTGATTTTTGTTTCCCGTTGACTGTCAAAACTTATAAAGTCTTATAAAGTATCACCTCTGGTTATGTGCAAAGGATCTTAAGCAACATAGACGTTTTCTCCTTTTAAGATACAGTGTCTGGTCTACAGCTAGAAATGTAGACTGGCCTTTCTTGCAAAGCAATTTTCAGCATCCAGCTGGCTTTCTGGTCTTTTGGACAGAAAAAAATGCACCTGAATGGAGGAGAGTGGGGGTGAATCGTTTTTCCACCCTGCAGGAATGTTTGCTATTTCAAAGACATTTCCCCACTATAAATGAGGGAGGAAAAAAAAAATAAAAATGCTGCTTTGGGCTCTTGTAACATTTTCTTCAGCTTCAACCCATCATCTAAGCAAACAAGATGTCAAAACCATGAGCATTTCTTTTTTTTTTTTTTTTTTTTTTTTTTTTTTAAGGCAGGGGCAAAACTTAATTCAGAAATGCTGAAATTGTTCCAACCAATTCCAGAAACTGTAAAGTGAAGAATCAGCTGATCACAACTATTTTACAGATTGCTTCAGCTTTGTCAAACCTTTTTTTTTTTTTTTTTTTTTTTTTATACCGGTGATTCCTGACCAAGCCTACCCTTAAAGGCTGTTGTCTTACTATTGTCTTTAGTTCAGTGTAGTGCTTTATTCCTCTGTCTCAGAAGCCAGTGGGTGTCAGGTAAGAAACGATATGCTGAACAGGATGTTTCCTTTACTTTTGCTCATGAGGTTGCCACTCTGAACGTGACTTTATCGGGGCTATAGCAGCACAAGCCACCTGGAGAGGTGACAACTCTTCTTTAGCCCTTGAGCCACAAGTTGCCCCTCTCAGAAGTCTGATCTTTCAGTGCTCACTAAGATGGCAAGTGAGTTGGGAAACTGAAAACGCAGGGCACAGCTTTGCAATTGTCTGCTAATTAGCAGTGATGATTTCATCGGGTCTGGAGCATGCCACCACGTGCAAGGACCTCCTGCCTGTCCTGAGGCCCCAGCAGAAGTGGTGCCCTACACCTTCTGGTTGCTTTTTGTAGGAACTCCGCAGGATGTTTAGTTTTGGCTGCTACCTGTGTGTGCGCGCGGTCCTCACCGGGAAGATGCTAAAATCACCACCAAGGCTGAGAAGTGTTCCTGCTGGTCTCTGTACGTCCCTGTCCCTCTCTGGCTGTTGTTTCTTGCCTTGTGCGTTTGACACTGGTTAGTTCCCGTGGACTGATTGCAGGAGTTCGCAAAAGCAGCGAAGCAAAATTAAGCCGTAGTCAGTAGCTTCAATTTGCTATAAAGGGAGTTTGTTGGCACTGGAAAACTTTTAGGGTTCACGTGAGTTTACATCATAGGTATTTGAGGGCACTTCTTCACCGAGTGACTACAGCAGTGGGATCCTCACTCTGGTATTCATAGAGCCATGCAATGAAAAATAAATGCCTTTAGTGAGTTCCTCTTGATAGAGCCTGTGTAGAAATCACTGGCTGTGGGAAGAAGCCGAGGTAAAGGCAAGGTGGGTTTGATAGCTCTATATAAGGAGAAAAATCTTCCTTTACCATTGCTACTCAAACTGCTTATGCAATCCTGTCACTGCAGAGCTGTAACGGAAAAAGAGCCTGCATTATAAAATCCTGCAATAATTAACAGCCCCATCAGTCACAGGTCTGCCATTTGGAAGCTGCTTTTGCTTTTTCCATTAAGTTGGTAAATTTTGCCAAAGTGTTTTTCTTCAGTGTTTTGGCATTCAGCCCCGCTCTCAACTCGTACGGTATTGACTGTTCGAGGGGTCCAGGAGCGGGGCTGAGGCCAGCTGGATCCCACACTGCCCATTCGTCTCCTTTATAGCCCCATCACTGGAATGAAATTACGTGCCGGATTTTCCCCTTAAGGCTTGTTCCCCCTCACTGTGGTGGTCAACGGGGATGTTGGAAGCAAATTTGGGTTGTGAAGGTACCCCTTCAAAAAAGAGCTGGGCTTCAGGTGGGTGTGTTGTTTGTACAGAGCTGTACGTATCTGACCCTCACCAGAGCAAAGGTGTTCTTAACGCTTGGGATCCTGCTGCCCTTGGAGTTCACGTCGTGTTGGTCACCTCCTTCCCCTCGTCTTTCCGTGCCTTCATTGGGCAGTCAAGCCCAACTGCTGATACCCAGCGAGGTCTTTGCTCCACAGACATGTAGAATTGTGTCCACGTCTTAAAACTCCATTGCTCTTTTGAAGGTGAGCACAGAAACACAGGTCTTTCCCTGAAGTGGATTTTAGCCTCTTTTAAGTCATAACAAGACTTCTGCTAGTGGTGGCCATGAAGAATCATCCTGTTCTGCTTCCTTTCCCACCTCCCCAAATGAACAGGGACAACAGCTCTCCTTGTACTCAGACATGTCTTCAGCTCAAGAGCTGTGTCCCATGGGATGAGGTGGACAGAAAACAACCACGTCTCCCCAGCTGGAGACCTCTTGAGCATAGTGAGGGTTTCCTGGTTAGCATATGGCTGGCTATAGGACGTTGTGGAAGAATACCGTGATTTGGCTATTCCAACTTGTTGTTGCTCCGTGCATAAACTAAAGCATCCCCAGAGCTCCTGAAATGTGTAGCCCAGTGTCGAGGTAATGGAAACAGCAAAGAATGATGTGCTCCATCTCATTTGTTTCCCAGCCGATGCAGGGCTGCTCCAGTATTTTGTCCCTTCAAGCCTTAAAATATTAGTTAGTGGCTGGATTCCTGTACAGATTTTTACATTCAAGGCCAGGTTTCCCCACCGATGTGTAAATCACTGCGGCTTCATTTTAGCTGTGGGAAAGGGTCTCCTGTACTCGGTGAGGATCTGGCCCAGGGTAATACATTGCCTCAGAGGACGCTTTTGTGTGCAAAAGCTGAGACTTGATGGCAGGAGAAGAGTGGCCTCTAATCCCATTTGATAAATGAGTTGTCTCTGCCAGATCTGAAGAGAGGAGCAAGCTGCACTTTGGCATCGCTTTGCATATCCCAGTGTTCGTGCTGGCTTGGCTGGAATGAAGAACAACCTGTGGATGTCCCACACTGCTTTCTCCTGGCTGAGGACTTTCTGTAGCGTACACTTTTGTCTCTGTTCCTCCAGCAGCCCGTGCTGATCAAGCTGTTAAATATCATCTCTAGAAGACGAGGGAACTCAATCTTCAAACTTTCCACCGACAGTTTTAAGTGAGCTTAACCAAGGAGTTTCCTATGTTCGTTATTTGGCTACAAATTAAGGAAGTCGGGGGGGAAGGGGGGGCTTCAACTACATTTCTCGTAAAAGTCTTCCTCTTTGCTGGCACTTCAAGGCTTAGTTTAGCTAACTGAAAGGTTTGTCCGGTTCCCTCTTGGGCATGAAAGGCGAGAGCACCGTGCTTGGGAGTCTGCAGCTCTCACACTTTCTAAAATTTCCTGCTGTACCAAGCTAATGAGAAAGTCATTAATGGCAACAGCATAGGGTGCTGAGTGGTTAGAAGCTGCCCCCACATCTTTGCATCTGGGCATAAAAAGAGGAATAGATCCATGCAGGATTTTGTATGTTTAGAACATTTTTAAGCGTGTAGTAAAGCCATAGGACTTGAATTTGTATGCTGAGATGCACATGACATGTTGGCCCATCTTCTACCCATGTTCTCACAGACGTACACTCCTGGCATGTCTTTTCACCTTCCAATTTTGAATTATTTCTCCATCCTCTTGCATTTCTGATGTTCTGTCCTAGACGGGATGAGTGCCAAAGAGTAGCAGTAGCCAAGGGACTGCTGACCTGCCACTGGTGACCCTTGCACCTCAAAACACTGGTCTGGTCCTTCAAGGCTTAAGAGACAGCCTCTAATACCAGTGGGAAAACCTTCCACTGAATTCAGTGGGCCTTAGATGACTTTAGAAGTAGCAAAACAAAATCTCAGTCAGAGGCAAGTGCTGTTCTGCCGAGCACCCGTTCTCCGTTTCCTGGGGACATGCGGACACTGCCACTGACTTTGCTGGACTTGTGATCGAGGAGAAGATCCTTAACAGGAGGGCTATTTTTGTTACCAATGTTGTAAAGACTCTCATTATTTTTTCTTCTTTTCCAATTTCAGGGGATTCTGCTTTCTCTGGACTGTATTGTGTTTTACCTGGTTCCTGGGATTCACACAGGGAAATTCTGAAGGTAAATTACACTTTTTTTAATCTCCTCTTTCAACCAAAGTTAAAACTAAGCACTTTGATATCACTTTAGGACCATCATTTAATAACGTCTGAGCCTAGTGCACAGAATTAAATGCCTTTACTCCTGATCGGTGGAGTGCTGCTGATACAGATGACGCAGTTAACAGCTGGCAAAAGAACCAGGTATTTTACAGGTGATTACATGCCCCACAGGATTCTCAGAAGTGCCTCGCTGTCTGGTGGGACCGGTGGGAATGAAGCACTTTGTGTCTAAAATGTCACTGGCATCTACCTGCACTTGCTAAAGCTTAACTGCTTTTAGAAAGTGCCCCTCGAGGCTGGGGCATTAAGGAATTAAGCGTCTCTGGCAGACAGGATTTTTCCTTACTTGAATGCAACCCAGTCACGCCTCCGCAGGCACGCAGGATGCTGTGCATACAGAAATGATGCGAGTTCTAAAAGTAAAAGCAAATTTAAGGAAGAAAAATCCTACAGGGGTGGTTGATAGTAAAATGATGATGCCTAGCTCAGTCCCTGTGCTGTAGGGGAAGTACTCTATAGGGCAGTGATCATACACCTTCACCCTAATCCTTACACCCCTTCTCCGGGCATCCCCTCCCCAGCGCTGCTGGAGATAGGAAAAAATACTCAGTCACTCCACGAGAGGAGATAGAAAGCTTCAGAGTCAACAAAAAAAAAAAAAAAGATTCATCTTTTACAGTTGGTAGTGGGAGCTGAGCATCTCTGCAACATCTGTTTGTAAAGGAGCCATCTCCTCTTAAAATAGCAACACCTCTTCCACATGGATGCTTTACATGGGGATATGCTGGAACTGAACAGCTTCCTCCGCAACCAGTAGACGACAATAAGCGGACTAGCAGGCTTCAGGGCTCTCCTCTTAGTCTCCAAAACATGAAGGAAAAATAGAAAGTTGGTCAATGCTCAGCTGTAAGCCAGCCCATAGAGCACTTTTTACAGGAGGGGGGAAAAATACATCCCTGCCATCAGCAATTTTGAAAAATGTAATATTTTCCAAATTCTGCTTCAATGCAAAAGAGGTGAACATCTGGCTGAATTACTTAGTCAAGCAGTTTTCAGAGCAAGTTTTATGTCAGCTCATAAAGAGGCAGAACAAATAGTGTGTCTTGGCGTCTCTTTTTTCAAGTAGATTTTAATATGCTGTTTAGATTCATCTCTATCCATCACTTTACTCCTATGATAATTAGGGGATGGTGCCGTGTCTTTTGATTGTTACCATCAATCTAAAGGAAACTCTTTCACTTTGCTCTCACTGCATTACCTTAGTGTGGTAGATAACTCCCCTCTTAGATACTTCCTCTGTGAGAAAGGAATTTAAAAATTCTTGCTCAGTTTCCCCACAGTCAGACACAGGCTGATCTTCTGGGTACCAGAAAGTAAAAACTTCCAAGGAAGCAAAGGCTGTAAGGAAACATCGGTGACCTGAGACTGTATTATCACTCAGGATTTTCAAACATGAGATTTATAAAAGCAAATAAGAGCGTGTTCAGAGATCTGTGTGAGGATGAAATTAAGCTAATGCCATGGGCTTTTGAAAATGCTGCAGTTATTGCTGCAAGGCTTAAGGGTCTTCCTGCACGCTGGAAAATCGGGGAAAGCAGAGGATGATTTTTCCATAACTGTTACAAATCATGAAGATCATGAGGTTAGTGAGTTCATCTGATGTGTACTGACTAAGGGTCTGGGCAGTAACTTTTGGAAATGTAGCATTTATTCAACCCAGTTTTAGCTGTGGGTATCCCATCTCAGCTGCTAGAACCTAGGAAGCTGCAAGTTATTTCTCTCCTGCTTTTTGGCTTCTTTTTCTTATAAAGCTTTTTGCATGGGGAAAGTGGGAGGGAAAGAAAGAGATGGGAAGGAGAGCAATAAAATATTTTATCCTCACTTTCAGAGATGACCATGTGATGGCTCAGGAATCTCTGCACATCTCACTTTGCACGCAGAGTCTGCTAGAAGTTTTTTTTTCCCAGTTGCTCAAATGTTGCTACAGGAGTGTTGCAACTAGCTTCAAGGCACCTGGGACCAGGCAGCTCTAAGTGAATGTTTTGTGTTTTTTTAAAATAATGTGTTTTGATGGAAAAATCTACAGAGGAAAGTATTCGAATGGGGAAAAAATGCTTTGCTAAACTTGGAGCTACTTAAGGAAGACAAAATTACCTTGCGTTTTACGTTAGTTAATGACATCCCTGTCATCCCAGGGGATGTGCCCCACCAGCCCAGGGCAGTCGGCATGGGATGGAGAGGCAGACAGGCTGGGTGCACAGGAGTCCTGAGCTGTGTGTCTGGACCTGGTGCTGGAAAATCCACATACATGTCCTGCATGAGGTCTGTTTTAATCAGGTTTTGCGTAGGCATCTAGAATTTGGCTCTACCGTAGTGGGTTTTGAGGGAAAGGAGTGGTTGGGTTGTGCCTTTTTTCCTTTTTCATAAGCCCTGTTGGATGCAGTTGCTAATGAGGCAGTTGGATTGGTATTGCAAACAGCAGCGGCATCCTCTGAGCAGGGAAGCATCCTTACGTCTTTGCAGAGCAGCAACCAAATGAATAGCTGTGTAAGGCAGTAAAGACACGCCACTGTCTGTCTCTGGGAGAGAACCTAAAAATACGTGTAGAAATTGGAAGCTGGAGTCTAGCTCCTAAGTTAAGTAGTGAATTTATTTTCTTAGGGCTAAACCCTGATGCCTTTGAAGTCTGTGGCAAGGGTCCCACTTGACTTGGCTAGAGCTGGGCTTTGGCCTTTTCTGTTTCCCGGGCTCTGAAGATTATCCAGTATGAAGATACCGCTGTGGTTCGTCCATTCAGTGCAGAGAGGGGAAAGCTCTACCTTTGCTATGCTGAGGGACAGCCCTGTTGGGCAATATAGCAGAAAAACAGTGGGGGACCAAGGATTTCTTAGTATGGGAGAAGTACCATTATTAACACTTGCACATGCTGTGCAGTAAATCATCCCTTCTGCATAGAGTGGGAAAATTTCCATCCCCTGTCACATCTGACACATCTGCTCCAGGCTGGTCTCTGCTAGAAAATGAGTCAAGCTGCCTTAAAAAAGGGAGGTGGGAATAAAGCTGAGCTCAGACAAAGTAAATATTGATTGACTTGTTCTTACGTAGAAAAATGGCCAAGGTTTTTGCCAAAGTCAAGGAACAGAGGTTTTCTCGTTATCCTCCTCCCTTCCTGGCCAGCAACATTACAGGTCTCAGACTGGCTCGAGTCTACGACCCTTCTCGCCAACACTGAGGATCTCTTTTAAGTGCCAGTTCTCCAAATATTGGTATTGTGCTGAATATCTAATAGTTAAGGGTGAAAGAGGCCAAATTCCAAGGTCCCTTTAGAAATGGAGCTTGTTTTTCCTTTGGACAACCTTTGTTTTACTTTCCCTTTTAATCTAGGAAAGCTGCAATCCCGTGATGTTAGCTGACATGCAGCCGTGATTGCCACTGCTGCATTTGTGACTGTAAATTCTTACCTCGCGAGGTCAGCGCTTGGACTGTACAGCCCAGGCGAGCTTCCCCAAAGAGCACTTAAATACATGAGAGTTCGCTGGTCATCGAGTAACGGGGATTGCATTTGGGCAGGGAAAAGGGAAGGAAATACAGTTATCCCAGCTCGTTTTCAACAGTGGTAGTGTCACAGTAATCATTATAGCCTCACCTTTCTCTGTCTCTACCATGTAGTTAACATCTTTTATTAGACCCAGATGGAATAAGAGAACAAGTTTTGGGGCATACGAGCCTCTTTTTCAGGTCTGGCCACATTCATCTTTGCAGCTCTTCTCACATAGACCTCAGCATCTTCCCCAGTTAAAGCAGTTCAGCTGAGACGGCCGCCAGCTGGCTCCAGTTTGCGTTGCTTTTGCCTGCTGATCTGCCTTGGACGCCGAGCTGTGTGTGACTCCTGTTAGACCTTGGGGCCGGAGACCAGAGGATTCTGTTTGTCTGTCCATTGCAGACTTCTTCCAGGGGCAGTGGAGAAAGATAGGTGTCTCTGGACAGCAGTCCCTCTCATCCCTCTTGAACGAGGCACCCAGCCCCTGGGTGACAAATGCTGGAGGAGTCTTCTACCTCTGTTGCTCAGTGGCAGCCATCACTAGTTCCTCAGTTCTTGACAAACCAAGTCTGGTTACTCCAGCTTATTAAAATGATTTAAGGCTGTAAGATGATCTGCTGGGA